ATTGGCATTCCAGAAGGTGAGGAAACCCATAAGGGCATTGATAATCTATTCCATAAAATCCTGCAAGAAAACTTTCTAAACCTAGAGAGGCATTTGAAGATCCAGTCCCAAGAAATACAAAGGACCCCAAATAGAATCAACCCAAGAAGATATTCTCCAAGACACCTTATAGCCAGATTGACCAAAACCGCAGACAAACACAAGATACTAAGATTGGCAAGAGAAAAAGATCAAGTTACCTACAAAGGACATCCCATCAGGCTAACAGCATATCTCTCATCAGAAACAATATGAGCAAGGAAAGAATGGGAAATTATATTCATAGTTTTAAGAGAGAAGCAATTTCAGCCAAGAATACTGTACCCAGCAAGATTATCTTTCATGTGGGAAGAAAAGACAAGAACATTCTTGGATAAACAAAACCTGAAAGAATTTACCAGCACCAGACCAGATCTCCAAGAAGTTCTCAAGGATATGCTATATCAGGAAAATTAAATACAGACACATGGAAATTAGAGTTCAAAAACAGAGAAGGTAGCCAACTTAATCATAGGGACAAGTCTGGAGTTGAATATTATATCCCAGAATTGAAATAGAACAGAAGATAAAAAAGTACATGGGACTGATAGGTTCATGCACCTACCATTTTAACAGAATCCTAACCTGTTTCCTGACTTTAAGCAAAGTTCTTCAGTATTTATTTTATTTAAGTTAAAACTGGTTTTCTTAATAGTAATGAATGAACTCGCCACTGAAATTAGTTAGATTATGTAAGAAATTGTGTGATCGGGAACCAACAGTTAGCATAATGGCTATGTCGCTGGACTCCCACATAGTCGATTGCAGTTCGCGTCCCGGACCCCATCGCTTAAAACTCATGCTGAGCATGTGTGCGTACATGCCCAAGATCCCAAGAGGAGAATGGAGGAGAAGGGATTGATATTATATATATAATATACATATATATGTAACAAGAAATGGAAAATTATTTATTGATTGTAACATGTATAATTAAGCCGCTATACAGTGTATTCTGGATGGGAAATTGCATTTTGTATGCTTTGATGATGTTCAGTGAAAGAATGTAAATTAAATTACAAAAAAAGTTTCAGAAAAAAAGTATCTATTCAATGACTGCAGTAAGATATATAGCCCCAGCTAGGTGCTACTTTATAGGATGAGTAAAGTTAGACTTGTGTTCATGGAAATGTATATATCAGCTTTGTTTGCTATAAAAATATTTATTTTAATTAAAGTCTTTAGTAATTCAATAAAATGTGTGTGTGGGGGGGAACAGTATAGAAAGCAAACATAGATACCATAGACAGTGTGGGAGCAGAGTGGGAGATGGCAGAGGGTAAGAGATAGGGAATCAAGGATGGAGGGGAAAAAAGGAAAACATACAGAAAACAAGAAATGGAAAATTATTTGTTGACAATAACATATTTGTTGATGTGCTTGATTGAGAAAATATACAGTGTACTCTGGATGAAAAATCTCATTCTGTATGTTGTAATGATGTACAGTGAATGAATGCAAATAAATACATTTAAATAAAAAAAAGATTGGAATGGAGGACCAGCAGATGGCATAATGGTTATGTCACCCGACTCCCAGAAAGTCAAACATGGTTTGAGTCCCTGACCCAGTGTCTTAAACCTCAAACTGGGAGCATGTGCATTTACGTGCAAAATTTCTAGAGGAGTATGGAAGAGATGGAATTGCAAACATGTTTATTTCCCCTAAGGAGTGATTACTCACTTTCTGTCTCTCTGTCTCTGTCTGTCTCTCTCAGTATCTCCTCTGAGTGCATGTGCCATATAGGAAAAAGTCTATCTTACAAAAACAGATTAGACTGAATATAAATATGAGATATTAAAACCATGCAGAGAACCAGTGTAATCACTAGCTAGTTTCTTTTTTTAACAGCATCAGTAAACTTACTGAACATTACATAGATCTTCTTAAAAAGAGAGAAGATACAAATCAATAAATCATAAGTGGAAATAAAGACATTATTTTTGACTAAAGAAAAGTAAAAAATCTAGGAAAACACAAAGAATAATTATAAAAATTTAGCAATGAATCAATACATATAATGTAAAAATGCCCATTAATCTAAGATACCATTCATAGTTGCAGGTTTAATACCTGCTTAACATTGATTTATTCAATGACTGTCTTAAAAAATGATTTTAAAAAGTCAGTAATTTTCAGTTATTTTATAACATGAGGATATAAAATCAGGGTGCATTTTTGGTTCAAAACCCTAAAATTGTGATACACGCTTAAGAAATGAAACCTTAGAGTGCCTGTTTTATGTGGAATCCCTTTTGGTTTTTAAAGCTTTCCAGGAATTCTCATAAGGCCTTATCAGAATAATGTAGCACTTGGGCACAAAGATGCAGCCTAGGATCCCTGCACTGGAGGCCAAGATGGAGAAAACCTCCATAGCCACCATGAATTTCTCCTTGGTGCTGTGATAGACAGGGACAAATGTGACCCAGACTCTGCAGAACACCAGCATGCTGAATGTGAGGAACTTTGCTTCATTGAATGTGTCAGACAGGTTCCTGGCCAGGAAAGCCTCAGTGAAACTCCCCAGAGCCAAGAAGCCCAGGTAGCCCAGGACACAGAAGAAGGCAGTGACTGAGCTCTTGTTGCACACCATGAGGAGGTTTCTAGGCTCAGAGTGTGAGTCTATATCAATGAAAGGGGGAGAGATTCCCAACCAGATTCCACAAATAATCATTTGGGTCAAGGAGCAAATGGGAATGACAGAGTTAAAAGCCCCTGAGAGCAGCAAGCGCCTCATTGTCCTCCCAGGTTTCATGGCATTGAATGCCAGAATCACAGTAATGGTTTTGGTCAGAACAGTGGAAACAACTACAGTAAACACAAGGCCAAATGTGATTTGTTGGAGGAGACAGGTGACTGTGTTAGGATGGCCAATGAAGAGAAAGGAGCAGAGGAAACAGGGCAGGAGGGAGATGAGCAGAACAAAGGTGAGAGCCTGGTTGTTGGCCTTGACAATAGGAGTGTCTTGGTGCTTCATAAAGATCCCCAAAATTATGACTGTGAGGAAAAAGAAGCAAAGCGCCAAACAGACCATGGCTATTCCTAAAGCATCCTCAAAAGCCAGGAATGTCACAGGCTTGGGAAGGCAGTGAGTTTTTTCAGTTTGGATACTCCTGAGCTGGACACTGAATACACTGATCTGCTGAAAAAACAAAGGTTCATCAGTTTAATTTCACTAATTGTCATATTGTAGCTAATGGTTACTTTTGTGTAATTTTGCTCAGATTATGCCCCTGAGGGACTATCAAGATACACCAAATTAAGAGCTATTGTCCATGTCACTGGAAGAATTATTTCAGCTGCAGATAGCACCAAAGTGATTTGAATCTGGGCCTTAAGCACATGAGGATCTTTGCTGATCCATTTTGTGACTCTCAATGATGTTACTGAGAATGAGAATTTATTCCAGATCTCTTCTCTACTCTCTCCTGAGTTTTCTCTTTGATAAACCTTATATTCCCATGGCTTATTCTTCATCACAATAGTAATGAATAGTTTTCTTATTTATATTTAGACAAAAATCAGTTTAACTTGTTCTTCTGGAATATCTTAACTTTCCTCTAACCTAACTTGTATTGATATTTTTTTATATAATATGTAACTTTGTGTACAGTCTTTTGTCATTGTACATTTTGATTTTTCTGTAAATATCAAAAACACTTGTATATAAATATTGAAAACAGTGTAAATATAAAACAATTGAATCTTTTTAAAATTTTTTTTATTTTTCATTTCATTTTCTTCCATACATTCAATCACATTATTATTTGTCTTATAAAATGGGTATTTCAACAGGTGAACACCTCTCCCCAGCACTGTCAATAAAACCACGAAACATCTTCAACAGATAATACCACACCTCTTTGTGCCATTAATGATTTTTCTCCCTGTCCCTCCCCCAAATGTCTTTCCTCAGACCCTCCTCTTTCACACACACTATATCTGGTATTTACATCTATATACTGTGTTTCTATATCCTTTAGACAATTAGTTTCAGTCATAGAGTGCAGACACTCGGTATATATTAAGTGGGGACATAAAATGCCTCTCCTTCATAGCATGGCTTGCTTCACTCAGCAGTAAGTCTTCCATATTCATCCACTTCCT